TTTAATATGTAATCTATATTCTTTTATTGGTAAATTAAGGAATAAAAAGTAAAGTCAAGAAGCTGTGTATTTCATAGAATTGCAAGGAACTATGGAAATGATTCTACGCATCGTAAAATATTTACAACATCTTAATTTTTCATCGTGCAAAACTGCCGTGCAACGATTTGAAGTGAGTTACTTGACAACTGGCACCAACGCCCGTTGCGAAGGACGGCCATAATTATTCGATAAAAATGATAGATAGGATAGAAAAAGAAAAGAATTTCGAGAATTACATCAAGTATCACAAAGAACTGAAATAAATTCAATAACACTATGCATCGTAGCATCAGTCAACTGTATCTTAGCACGTTTTTGCATTGTATTGTAAGCCAATGGTACTCTTATCAAACTTCTTTATTTCATATAACAAAGGCTACGTTTACACTTCAAAATATGTAACAATTACTCTAAAATCTTTACATACGAATAAAAAAATTTTATTCATTTTATTTTAATTAATAAAAAACTTATTTTACTGAATAATCCTTAAATGAAAAAGATACGATTAACCACCGTCGAGAATGTATATATTTTTATAATGATTGTTTAGTTTATATTGTAGTATATAAGAGACCCTTCCCTTTTATCAAATAATAATAAATTTAAATAGCCACGTTAAGCATTTTTAAGGCCTCAGCCTAATTTCTTTAGACGTATTATTACAGATATAAAAATAGCCAGCAAGAGAGATCTCTAAGGACTTTATCCTTTAAATGATTTAAATTTTCAATCAATTTAAAGAAAACTGCATCATATTTTCATACAAATTATGAATTTTCAGAAATATTTCTTACACTTTTGTACATTCATTTCAGACTGAATCACTCATTCTTATTTAGACTTAAGACTCACCATGCCTATCACCTTTATATAAATGAGGTAAGTTATTCTTGACGGGAGTCACACTGAGTGACTCCACAGGGGAGCGAGAAACTAAGAATATTTACTGTTTCAAAGTATTACTTATTCATACCACTTTAACAAACTGACAGATTTATTAATTAATTTAATATCTTCATACATATTAATTTATTTAAATATGTATAATACAATTAGTCGTTAAATAACGTACTAAAAGATGGCAATCATTGTAGGTTTTGGGCATAAACAAGTTTTTTTTTTTTTCATTCTTTCAGGTCTCGAACAGTTTTAAGTACTAGACAGGGTCCTAGACGTTATATAACATCAATTATTTTAAAATAAGGGCTTAGTATTATAGCCTATATACTATTATAGAGGCCTGGCAAATTTACGTCTTTCTAGGGCCTCGACACTAATTACAGTTTTATAATTATAATTGTAATTAATAGGAGTTTATTAGCTTTAAAATTATTTATTATTTTTAAAGTTAAATATAAGGCACGTCGGATATATTTGTCAAAGGCAAAAGATGCCAATACGAATTGAATGTCTGAGTGCCAAGTGACAGACTAAATTAAAAAAAAGGGGGTTCTCTGCGAGACGAAACTGAGTCATTTGACACAGACATCGATTTTCTTGACAGGAGTATTTTTTCTAATTATGCAATTGGAATTTTCAAGCTCTCACATTAATTTTAATGATTTAAAAGACGGAAAAATATTCATCTTAATTCGTAGAATATAAAGATGGTTTAAAACTAAGTAAAACGGTTCATTTTATATTAAATTTGCCTAATTATTATAGAAGAGAGAGTCATCGGGAATACTTTTCCCTGGTTCCATATATACAGGGCTTCCAGAATTTATATAAATTCAAGTTCCATACATTTTTATGGCTTTCGTATAGGATTTATATGTTATGTATTTGGCTCGGGATCTATTTCATCTCTCTCGGGTCCAATAGGATTTTTAACAGTTAGAAAACAATTTCATCTTTGTCTAAACTTCTCTTCTGGAGATATTACTGTTTATACTTCAGTAAAATCGATAATAAAATTATTTAAAAACCATTTACAGAACGTATTCCTTGACCCAATCTTAGTATACAACTCCCTGTTGTTGGAAGGTTCCTCTATTTTTGGAGTTTAACAGAACGAGAATTTTAATTCAAATATAATTTTTATTAAATCAGAATTATTTAAATAATAGAATTGATATCATTTTTCTTTAGCATATGGCATTAATTCAACACGAAAGTTCATTTTTATTTGGGAGTTGTCAAACGAAATCGCTGGAGGGAAGAGTTTCTCTTTATTTACATTATTAAAATAATGAGTTCTGTTTACTAGTCACGGTTATAAGAAGTTATACAATAAACAATGTACTAAATATACGAAATAATTTAATTCGTTATAAGCAATAAAGTAATTGGATAAGACGAGGCATTAGATTTTATAATGGTTAACTGACTTTTGGAACACCCTTTATATTTATATTGGCATTTAATTTTCGCATAACTTGTTATTTATATTGTTTTATATAATGCTAAGTGGGTCAATGTGAGATATAAATAGAAAATTTTGTGGACTTAAACGTTATAGGAGTCCTAGAGAAATTGCACCAATGCAGATCTATAGTGGGAAGGAATATTTTTAATAATATTATTAAATAATTCGAGATAATTACTTTAAGGATCAATTATAAAAATTATTATTATTTAAAATTAAATTAATATTATTATTATTTTAAGTAGAATGTTAGCATATGTACAGTACAAGGTGTTGGAAAAGTTTTATTATTCTTAGGCAATCCTTGATAAGTGAAACAAAGAATATAGTCTATTAGTTACTGGAGAAAGTAAGTAAACAAGAGACGGTTTGTGATAAACTAAAGACATACTTGGCAATAAGAATGATTTTCTTTGGCATTAAATTAGTGTTTATGTTATCATTTTCAGAGCTCTGAATAATATGCATCGACAAGTTGAGTACAGCACCAAGATAATATTTATCTATCGCAGAAACAATACATAATGTAATGTAAAATGCAACCGTAAAGCATACTTTTAGGGTCTTAGACTATAGAGACGAAATGAGAAAACCATAAAAATATGAATAAAATCAACAGTAAAGAGTTCATTTTTAACATTTATTTTTAAAAAATCTGTTAATTTATATAATTTTTTACATTGTGGCCCGATTTATATCTGGCGGTGGGCCAAATGGTCTATCTGGACTATGGTTCTATCTGGGTTTCAGTGACTTAATCCTTTAAGTTTTCATATTTTTATATTTATTAACTATAGAAATAAAATGATAAAAAAAAATTAATGTAAAAGCTAACATAGATTATAGATTTACTTTCGTCTTCACAAAAGGATTGCATGAAATTTCTGTTGTTTCTTGAGACATCGAAAACTTCCAGAAAAAACAGACGTGTGTATCTCGAATAATATATTTCATAATACAATCGATATAACATATATTATGTGCAGGATTATTTCAGGCATCCCATTCGACTTCTTCGGAAACATTATAGATTTAAAACAAAATACTAGTTATGAGCGGTGAGGGAGGCCCTAAGGCAAATAGGCTTTTGTGTTAATGTGGTCCTAACAGAAGCGGCCTTACATATAGACAAAACATTAAAAAAAAATGTTCATATTATTGTAGACCTAAATAAATCGTTATCCATAGGGCCTCAAAAATAAATTTTGCCTAGGATTTCGCAAATCTCAGTATCTCTTCTGGGCCCTAATTAAATGTGTTTGGATCGAGAAGCCACAGCGATTCTAGATTTAAATATCTTTCATCAATCTGATAATTCCCATTTAGAATCGCACTTTTTACATGAAATAGGCAAGATTCTTGATCTCGATTTGTAAAATATCCATCGAATTTCTAATTTAAAAATATTCAAAGTAATTATGTAAACTTACATAAGAATTATTTGGTTTAAATTCTAACAAAAACATTCTTTGCCCGGTACGTATCATTCCAGGAGTATTTTTAATTTGGTTAAAAATATACTTTCTGCAATAGAATAGGTTCTTTATTTGGTAGATAATGGTTACGATCCCTTTGTTCGGTTTTAAATTAATCCAGAAATATCGTCATTCACATGAGATGGAATTAAAGGTGGAAGAGCATCTTTTTTTTTTGTCCATTTTATTCAATTTTCTGTACAATGATCATTAGAGAATGGAGTTACATAAAAGAGACATTTCTTAATTTTCCGCTTCTTCAGAAAAATTTTTTATCGAATTCTCTCTCTTCTTCTTCTCGTAACAGAATGTCAGAGTTCAATGTCAGTGTATTTTAAGATGTATTTTTATCAATATCACCGTGCAAAGATAACAGAAACGATCAATAATATTTACTAGAATTAATTTTGTTCGAAACGAAGATGTATTCTATTAAATATCGAAAAATTAAACCCGCTTTACTTAATTTAAATTCAAAGAAAAGATGATGATCCTGCTCTTATCTCTTCGTTTATTGATTATGGATTAAGTTAAATATCATCAAGAATGATTCGGATATCAACTGATCCGGTGTATTTTGAGGCTTTCCAGTTGATTTTTTTTACTAGTTTCTTGGACAGTGTTTATAATATTGCAAGTCTTCATCGATTAAATCCTTATTTTGGATTGTCTCAGTGTTTTAAGTAAGAATTTGGATAGGATTTTAGCTGTCGATTCTACATTTAAGCATCATCTTAAATATATTGATAGAAAATGCAGTAGAAAATTCAACTTTTCTCCAAACTTCTAACAAAAGATTCATCCAAATATTTTCTTCCAACTAATATAAGGGATTTTCTCGATTTTAAAGATCATCCATCACGGTAGGGCGTTATCGACGATGAAGTGATGAGGATGATTTATGGATAATCTAAATTACACAGAAAAATTTTCTGTGTAATTTAGATTTTAAAAGTTTAATCTTCTACAAATTATAAAGATAAACGTTTAGGAATCAAACCGAATTGACAGGTAATTTTGATAGAGAAAAATCCGTGTTTTTCAAGACGATGTAGATTAAAACGAGAGGAATTTTTCTAAAAAATGACAAGAGAACAATATGCTATACTCACCATTTCGTCGGATGCGTAAGTGACAACATTACTTAGCATCGGCCCGGCCACTCATTTAGGCGAAACGTTGCCCTCCACCCACTTTTGTCCCGATGTCGGCCAACCTCGACCGTGACATCGACTCGGCCTCGAGCGGCACTCAAGGAGATACACGTATGGAACCTCCCGGAAATTGCAAAAAATGACGTCCCAAATACAGAAATGTTCCATCCGTATCCGACCCGAAGGCCGATATTAGTGTCGTTGGTACCTAACAGATGGCGACACGAAAGTTTCCATCCCCGTGGAAACTTTCTTTATTGAAGAATAAGGATAGAAAGGGATGTTTTCTAGCCAAATTCGGAGGCAAACCGTTAAGTTTGAGTGCTTTTTTAGGGAAAAAGAGGGCGAAAAAACAACAGAAAACACTTTATTGTAGACAAATACAAATATCTTTTCGGACAAATGATGAATAACGGTTGCCGCGTTTGCAACAATTTTAGTATTTACAGAGTGGATGTTGTCTCTCTCTCCTTTGGTATCTGCGTAATCTCCGTTGCCAGTCCTGCATCCATTCGATGACGACGTGGTCCGAAGCCAGACTCAATCCTCCACGTCTCTTCGCTCCCATCCATTCGTTAGCTGTAAAAGATTGGTTTAATCGTTTCCTTTTTATTTCCTACTTGTTAATTTCGGATTTAGTTTGCCGTTTACCTAAAATTAAGTAGGATTTCTGTAGTCGTAAAGGATGGCATCTGCACGCTACATCTGATGCGGATAACCAAAGATAGATGAGTCCGGGTCGTAGCTTGGTGGGGCCTGCCTTGAACACCTGTTGCACCTGGACCTCGTACCTCAGCCATTGACCAACCCCGCTTTTCGACTGAAATCGAGCTTGAAAGACTGAAAAGAAGACAAAGGCAAGTTCAGACTTAAAGCGGTCGGAGCACTAAAACGTGCGAAACTTACCGTAATCCCTCTGACAGAATTTTTTCAAGTTGACTCGTTTGACGGGGCCTCGGCACTTATCGCACTTTCCTGTATAAAAACAAACACCAATGCTCCTTCATGGTCTCAAATACCAGCGAAAAAAGGTTGTTGACGTATCTCACCTGTGTTCTTGCCAGTGTCTTTGCGGCCGATCCCCTTCGGTATCTCTGGAAAAGAAAAAAGCGGAATTTCGAGTGCCCCTAGTGATGAGGGGAAACATCAAGCAAAGCGCACGAAGGGCGGAGACCGATGTCGCTCTAAATTTAAAACAAAGGAAGAAGCCGTGCAACAGGCAGAGGTGCTCATGCAATACGTACTGATGCACGGCGCCACGGGCGATCTGCTCTGCTGGTATCCGTTGGCACACCGGTTGCAGGTGACCCCCGTCACACCGTCCTTGCAGGGACACTGGCCACTGGTCTGGTTGCATGTTTTGCCAGAAGAACCAACCGGGTGACAATCGCAGGCTGCACGGAAATTTCATTTCAATAAATTCAAGAGAAAAGAGGGCGGAAACCGGTGCAGCTTACCTCTGCAGGCTTTACGATGAGTGATGGGTTTGGAGGTGTCTCGGTAGAAGCCTTCTTTGCAGTAGTGACAATACCTGCCCGCGGTATTGTGTCGGCACCCCAGACACACGCCTCCACTGGTCCTCCCCGATAGCTTGTACAACTCCATGTTGAAGCGGCACCTCCGGGCGTGCAGGTTGCAGTCGCAGGCTGTGAGAAAACAAGGCCGTTAGTAACGATCCCCTCCGACGTAAATGGCTAAAAAGAGGACCAAGGAAAGAGATCCCGGATTAGGGGATTACCGAGGAATTTATGTCGGGATTATCACGGCCGGCCCCGAGCATTTTACATTATAAATAGACGAAAATGGTAGTTTTGGAAGTCGACAACTACAGGACTCGTGCGGTTGCATTCGAAAAGTTTTAAATATCTTCCCGACTGTTTGTTTCTCGGTAAAATGGATTACGGTTTATTTTAAAAAAGAAAAATATTAAATGTCATAGCACGTGACGATTCCCGAAGGGTAGAATATATTTTTGTCATCCCTTCGAAGAAGTAATCAAAAAACGGCTAAAGAACGGGAATGATCATTAGACTCGTTGATTCAAGTTTCCCACAAGACGTATAAAGATTGACAGTTTCGAGCATTAACGCAACAGTGCAACACGATCTATTTTCATACGAGTTGACAAGACACAAATACGTCAAAAAACTAAAATCTGCAAGGGATTCCCATTTTTCTCTTTTAACTCTCGACCGGAAAGAACATCGTCTCCAGGTGTTCCTCTTTAGCCGTGTTTACACTATAAATTTGTACAACATAAATATGGAGACAGGCAGCATTTGTTTAGAAATACTTCCGGAGCCGGCAGCGGCCAACGAAGCCATATCCATCGTTTAGAAATTTCTATTAAGAGCGAGTCGTTGGTCGTCCATCGTCGGACTCTCAAAACCGTCGAAAGACGAACGGAATCGATTGCGACCGGACCCTAGTGGGACTCTCCATCCCTCGTCGCGGTGGTAAAGCGAGGGGGAAGGGGTGGCAGGTGGTGAAACCAAATTTGGTTTCCGAGAGACACGCGAGGAAATGGCAAAAGCGATTGTAATTCAAGCGAAACCGGTGGAGGTTGGCAGAAGTTCGGGCGACTATAAATAGTATATACATGTGTCGCCAACACGTGCACAAATCTGTCCCCGTGTAACGAGGGGCCGAGACACGACGACACTCAATCGTCGACTGCGTCTGCCATGACAAATGCATCGATCGGTACCCCGCCCGAGGCGGGCCAAGAGGAGGAGCCAAGCATCGAATACGAGCCCACTATCATCATTGGCTCGGATAAAAGAAGAGGGTACTCTACTTTTCGCAGTTGGACATCTTCCGGAGCAAACACGGAATCGATACCACACATTTAAAGAAAAGAAAAAAACCGGTTATCTCTCCGATCCTTTGTTCGACATTAAATTTAGACGGGTCATCAAAAATGCTATTTATCACCGCAGAGGAGTCGATTGTGTCTGGAAAAAGGGAGCCAGGCCGTCTGCCATCTCCCTCAGACGCAAAAAAAGTTCGTCTATCGTCGATCACGTGACGGGGAGCTCATTAGGATTATCAGTAGGATCCGGCCCGACGGGTCCCGCTCCTCTCGCGCCCGTCGGTGGTGCGCTGCCAAGAAATGCCGCCGTTTATAGATGTTGGCAAGCAGACGAGGGCAGCAGATGCTCTCGGCTTTCGTCTTTTGCCTGACATGTTTGCTCGTCGTCGAACGGATCCCCGTCCATTGATTAACGAGCACCGACCGAATTAGAATTCCACAAACGGAAGGACAAATAATAATAATAAGGGGGGGGACCGTATTATTAAACCGTAAATCGATTGACAAACTGTCCTTTGTGACGTCCACAAAATCCGATTTCGTCAAACGGTTCTCGGATCCGATTTGTCACGTTTCTTTCTGGAAAGAAAATTCTCACGACGTCCGTTCTCGGGTTAGAATGGGTGTTCACCGGGGGGAAACCCAAGCCGTATATAAAAAGAAGCTGGTGTCTATGTCATAGCCGAAGGGAAATAGATGTGGAAGCGATAGGGGATCGATGTCTATTGTCTGTCGTCCGTTTTAAAAACGCGTCCGGCTTTTATCACTAATCTGATGTCTTCGACATCTGATAAGAATTACATACTGGTCGACGACGACCTCCGTCGTCAAAGGTCTCTGGCCTCCCCTTTCTTCTATCCAATTAGACTTTTCACACGACGTACCCGACGCACTCGACCCGTGCGTATCGAGCACTCCAATGGTTATCGGAACCACTCGACATCCGTCCGTTGCACTAATGAGAAACCCATTAATGGAAAGTAAATTCCACTTCACCGTGTTTAAAACCCAGAGATAAAGACAAAATGAGAATTTGACTACGTACGAAGCGACACTGATTAACGAGTTTCTTCGTTCTTTTTTAGACAGAAAAGAATCTCTTCTCTGTATACAAAATCGTATTAATCTTACGTTATTTTACGTGAATATATACAGTACTTGGAGATGACTCCAGGCCATAATTAACATGAGCAATAAATAAATTTTCTCATCGGAATGCAATCTACTTGTTATCGGATGTAATACAGAATTAAGCAATGTAAATTAAATACTTTAATTCTTCTTGGTTTTTCCGGAGCAACTCGCATCCTTCTTTTATAAACAGAAAAAAAGAATATTAATTTAATTACACTCTATAAATAAAAACTCGCATCTAATTACGATTAATAATTGAATAAAAGTTTGTTATCGCGCATTTAATTTATGTTAATCTTACAGAACGGGCTTAAAGTATGGAGAGAATAATTGGTCCTTCGTGTTTGGCATTTCCATTCCGGATAACCTACACTTAGCAACCTTGTATTAAAAATGTCCGTTCCGGATCGAGCAGAGTTTAAAAGGCCGTATACATTATTAATATATTTGCTATTATACGAAACTATCTCCCACGTTCTAGTTTGAGAACCGTTGCACTAGACTAAACAGTGAAAATGGGTGGAAAGAAAATTTACGAGGCCGATAAGAACAGAAGAGATGCCACACCTGCCGTATCATAAGTCGCATTTGTCACGTAAATCGATAAGAGGAGGCAAGTGGTTTGATAATATATCCGGAGGACCGGGAGGTGGGGATGACAATTCGATTGGGTTCGATCGGATCGATTTCGGGGGTTCCTCGCAACATCGTAAGACGTGGGATTGGACTAGCGCGGTCTTTAATATAGGAGGGGGACGTCGAAAAATAGCTGCCAGAAGTGTCGATCCCCGCAGGGACGCAGTCGTATATCCTAACAGATTAGTGCGCTCATAAAACGGCCCAGAATAGGAGCACGGCCACGTTTTATGGCACGAATATTCTAGTTGCGCAGGTGTGTCCACCTTCCATCCGTTTAACGAGGGGAATAAATTTTCGAAATTTCTCCGACCATCCCGATTCTTCCGA